CCAGCTGGCCCCCACCCATGCACCAGGCCTCTATCCTATATAGTAAAAGGGTAATATGCCTCCCAGCACCGTGATTAGCGGAGCTGCGAGGCCTCCCGGCACCGGATCAGCGTGACAGGGGGAAGCGCACAAACCCCCTGATCGCCTTGCGGCTCTGTGTGTGACAGGGGGTGGGGCCACAACCTCCCTATTTGCCCTGCTCTGTTCGTGACAGGGGAAGGCACCCCAATCCCCTGATCAACCCTGCTCTGTGCCTGATAGGGGGGAGCTCCCCAACCCCCTGATCGCCCTGTGGCTCTGTGCGTGACAGGGTGTGGCGCCCCAACCCCCTGATCGGCCCAGCTCTGTGCGTGACGGGAGCAGCACCCCAACCTCCCCATTGACCCTGCCTTGAGTGTGACAGGGGGTGGTGCCCCAACCCCCCAATTGGCCCTACCCTGAGCATGACTGAGGGTGGCATCGCAACCTCCTGATCCGCCCTGCTCTGTGCATGATGGGGGGGGCGCCCCAACTCCCCAATTGGCCCTGCTCTGAGCCCGACCAGGGGCTGCACCTAGGGATTGGGCCTGCCCTCTGCCACCCAGGAGCAGGCCTAAGCCAGGAGGTTGTTATCTCCCGAGGAGTCCCAGACTGTGAGAGGGCACAGGCCATGCTGAGGGACCTCCCTCCCCCCTGAGTGCACAAATTTTTGTGTACCGGGCCTCTAGTACCTTTAATAACAAGTTAACTAAATTGACGAACAATTAGTATAAAAGTGGCCTAAAATTTTTTCAACACAATTTCTCAAAAAAAATCTAAACCTATAGCATAAGATAAATATAAATAACTAGAGGCCCGTTGCAAGAAGATTCCTGCAAAAATAAGGCTTCCAGCGGCTGGAGCCAAGCAGAGAGGAGAGTGAAACCCGCTGAGGCGGGCTTCACTACCACTCCAAGCCGCTGCGGCTGGGTTTCCCCTCCCGCTCCCAGCCACTCCTGCTGGGTTTCCCCTCCTTTCCCCTCCCGCTCCCAGCCACTCCTGCTGGGTTCCCCCTCTGGCTCTAAGGCGCTGTGGCAGGTTTCCCCTCCCACTCCCGGCTCACAGCCTCTACTTAGCTCCCTTCTGTGCCGCTTGGCCTCCATGTTGTCCTCAGTCTTCCCTAGCAACTGGTATATGCAAATTGACGACCATCTTTTAGCTTCTATAATTGAAACATTGTATCTTTTGGAGCTGTTGCTTCAGGAGCTCAGAGCCGGGCGGCGGCAGGTGGGGAACCTTGGCTTCCTCCGTCACTGGAGCAAGCAAGCCTCATGTTTGCTTCAATTGCCTGGCTGCAAGCTGCCATCTTGGCTGGCAGTTAATTTGCATATCTTGCTGATTAGCCAATGGGAAGGATAGCGAAGTTACAGCTAATTACCATGTTTCTCTATTATTAGATAGGATTACAAGATTCTACAGGCAGTTTACATTTTTTTCAAAACATAAAAGTCCAATCATATGAAAATAACTATCAGATTATTTCAAAATCCCACCAAATTAAGGGGAGCTGTGCTCATTAATATGCTAATCTAAGTTAATTACTCATGTTGCATGTGTTAATCAAGAAATAGACCCAAACAGAAATTATGAATGAATTTAATTTCAGTATAATTAAGACAAAAAACAGCAACTAACTTGTCACCTTGCACGGAAATTTAACAGAAGAGGTTTAAATTTATTTATTTGCCAACATTTTCTTCATAGCACATAGCCTAACAAAAAGACATCAGAAATTCATGAGTTATATTTTATAAATAAACATGGTAAGAACACAGACTCTTAAATTTCTGTTGGAGGAATTAATTCTTCATTAAAGAGCTCAAGTTAAACAGAAACTTTTATTCTAAACTGTAAAATTTCCTTGATAGAAGAAAGTAAGATTTTTTTAAAGCTGGAAATGTATGATGGTCTTTTATTTCTTCTCCCAGATATACAAAGTAATATAGCTAAACACTTACTAGAACCAAATCTATCTCAAAAGTTTAGGACATTAATTTTTTTCCTTTTAGTTAATACTCAATGAGAAACAACACTTAGAATAAAACTTTTTCCATAAATAAGGGATAGTAATATCCACCTGCAAAAGGAAAAAAAAATTGAATTAGAATGTCAACTTCTAAATACATACATACATGTATATACATGTATGTATATATATATAACTTTAGAGATCACAGTTTATGAAAGTTGAGTCTTGCTAACTCAATTGTACCTAAGATGGGCTCGTATCAGTTATAATACTTAGTTGCTTAAAACACCTATAATTCTGTAACAACCAAAGAATATATAAATGAAGAAAATCAACTTAAACATATAATTTAGTCTATGGCCAAATTTTCAAATCTATCACATATCAACATGTGTAATCGTAAGAGATTTTCATTTGAATATAGGATGCAAACTGAATTGTTGAATATTCCTCTTCTTGTCTCCTGGATATTTGCCTGCAGCATTCTGAGTTATCACTAAACTCAATCTATGCTCCAAATAACATTTAAGATGATCAAAGCTGGAATTATTTGGCATCAACTTAAAAAAAGAACCTGAATAAAAAAGATTAGGATTTTTTTCCAAAGAAGATGGGAAAAATGAAAAAAAATATATACTCATATGTAACTATTTCTTCTTTGCAAAATAAATAGCCAAATTAAGGTTAACATTTTATTTTACTATTTGTTCTGTTTCAAAATTACACAAAGATGGAATTATATTAACTTTTACAAATAAAGCTTCCAGTCCTGTTGAGTTACCTGTTTCATTAGGTACTGACAGACTATTTCCTCTTCTATAATAAAAGGCTGGAAAGAAACTGCATAGCCACAATAAATTTCAATGCAATATTGTCTTACTCTCCCAATATCTCAAATTTTTTAAAATCTATTATCAGGTTTAAAACAAGAAAGTTTTCTTTTAGCTGTAATAGCCCCAAATGGACCTTCTTCACATCTGCAGCACCTAGATATAAATATTCACCTAGTAAATGTAAAATCCAAGTTTCCTCTGTCATTTAGAAGGCAGATCAGATTAAATATAATTTCGTAAAATTTGACTTCAAATTCATTTAGAAAAACAAAAAGAAAGCAAAAAAAGAAATCTAACTCCTGGGGTGTTCTGGAAAATATTAAACTATGTAATTCATTCAATAACTATTTCTAAGCATCTATGTGTTAGACGCTGGAATATTTTTAGTGAAACCAAAAACTATCATATATTTGTACAATCTTTCATAAAATGGTTGAAATGAAGTAAAGGAAACAGGTTAAGAGCTTGATGAATGATTTATGAAAGCACCAAGCAATATTATTTCAACGTGACAGCTGGCATTTAATTCTAACAATATGGTCTATTGCTTCCTTGAGACAAAAAATTGCTGGAAAAAAGTGAGGTTGTTCTAAAAAATGTCTTATATAATATTTACCTTCAAATTAGAATTTAAACAAAAGATACTTGAATACAATTCCTTAAATTACATCTAATATACTTTCAGGACTTCCAAAATTGACAATTAAAATTGGAAATTATTCATTAAGAACTTTTTTTATTTTGTATATTTCCTGCTTGGTTATATAGAAAAGGGTAAGATATTCCTGGCAGGAAATAAAACCAGAAGTATGGCACACTACACAAACACACTTGTCTCATCCTGAACATCAAGTTTTAGTTGAATGACTTAATGAAACTCCAACAAATAAAAAATAAAAGGTAAAGAAAACATATTCCTTTAAATTTTAATTAAAATGTTTTACTGTGTTTGCATCTATAAAATTAATTTTTGGTGTTACTATGAAGTTAAATTTTGGGATAAAAAAGCAAACAAGGCCTTAATATATATGTACACACACACACACAGTTTGTATTTTTGTTAATCCTCAGACGAGGATATTTTTTTTCATTGCTTTTTCAGAGAGAGACTGGAAGGGAGGGAAGGAGAGAGAAAGAGAGAGAAAACATCAATGTGAGAGAGACACATTGACTGGTTGCCTCTTGCATGTCCTGACCAAGGGCCAGGAGCCAACTATAACCCAGGTTAAGTGCCCTAGACTGGGAATTGAAACCTCGTTGAGATGGCCGACGCTCCACTGGGAACACTGGCCAGGGCAAGATGTTCGTTTTTGACTTGTTAAACAAAAATCTTTGGCTATTTAAATAGTCTAAGTTCTTTCCAAAATGTATATGTTATAATGTACATCTAACTGTGAGATAAGTATCTCTCAAGTAATTTCATTTTACTAGAGAAACAAAGGGAAATGAATATTTGTTTAATCATATGTAAAAATCTGTATATTTACACTGAATATAAGTGTGCATTAAGAAATATTTATTTGATGTATAAGCTCTTTCAATAAACTCTTGATGGCATTCAACACAATTATTAAATTGCAATTATACTATTTTAATATACATAATACATCTGAAAAGTTAGTACTAATTTTTATAGATTATAGAATTATAAACATAACAGGATTATTAATAACACTGAAAATACACTATCAATAAAACAGAAAGTTCATTAGTAATATTAATATATATTAAAATATGACTGTAGAATATGGTCAACCTTACTTCAGCAGCACAGTTAATACTGGAGATAATTTAGAATCTTAACGCCAATATTTACGTGCTGCTAAGGCACTGTTGACATCACTATCATAGGAGTTATGAAGCGTTAAAACAAATACATTTTCTTCAGAAGATCAGATCCTTGTATTTTTGAGGCAGCACAATATGGCCTGCACCTTTTCAAAACCCACAAACCATTATGTGCTGCTACTTTACTCCAAGGTTTTATTTTTTTAAACTCACATTAGCACCTAAAGATACAAAAATATTTTTTTTCTTTTAGGGAAAAAAGAGAATAAAACCATTAAATATTCCATGTTTATAGACTATTGCATAATTAGTTTCTTAGAAGCTTTTAAGTGGCATAATAATTTATTTCTACATCAAAATTTTAAGGAAAGCCAACTATGCGCCAAGCACTTTGCTATAGTTAGGAAAACAAAAATGCATAATGTGAGGAAAAGAAAAGTATTTTTCCTAGGTCACCTTAATAAGTTAATACAGTTAAATATTTAATCAAATTTTTAAATGTATTAAATACTTTAAGTTATTTTTTCCTTTTATAAAAAGTAAATTCATAAAATTTGGTCTTTACCTCGGTAACAGCATATATTATAAACAGCATTTCATTCCTTGAAGTACACTTTTCATAAGACATCTTCATTAAGTAGGTAAGACTTCATATCAAGAGAAAAATAAAAAATGACATGCAAGAGCTCAGTTTCAATAAACTAAAGCTAGCAAAATGAAGTCACATGAAATATTTAATACTAAGTAAAAAGACCCCAAACAAATCAATTTTCTTAAGTAATTTATGTTTAAAAACCCAAATATTTTACCCTCAACATTTATCTCCCTACTAAAATAGTCTGTCAAAGTTGGATATCATTTTATATAAGATGTAATTCTAGAATATGAAGCCTTGGAAAAATAAGTTAACTTTGTACCCAGAGATGAGAAATAAAAACAGGAATCCTGTAGCTCTTTATCTTTCTACCCCTTACCTGTTTCCACTCTTCATCAGGCAAGAAAATATTCTCCTAAACATTTTCCACTTATTCAACTTTGGGAATTACATATTTCTCTCACAGGGGTGGGGAACCCTCTTTTCTGCCAAGGGCTATTTGGATATTTATAACATCATTCTTGGGCCACACAAAATTGTCAACTCAAAAATTAGCCTGCTATATTTTGTCAAACATTTAATTAACTCACCCTAATGCTTTGACAAGGCCAGATCAAATGATTTTGAGGGGTTTATATGTCCTATGGACTGGACGTTCCCTACCACTCCTCTAACAGATCAAATTACCAGGACTCTATCTCAAATCTTGATAACCTCTTTTATTCCCGTTTTCTCACCATTAAAATAGCTTTGCTAAGGCTACAATACTTCTACAGAATAACGTGATGTGCACTGAAATTTGTCCATCCCTCCTAATATCTAATTGTTTAGAAAAAGCACAACTGTCATATAGTCCATATTAATTTTCTTGTGAATTTTTCACTATTATTAAAAAACATATGTAGTTAATCTCCTATCTGAGCAACCTGCGTTTCATATGTTACTCTATTAGTCTTACTTTTCCACACAATTTTTAATATGTAGCCAAAATAAATCTGTTTGCAATAACATGAAAATACATAATACTTATATGTATTTACCAATTACACTAAGAAACTGACCTTCAGGTGACCCTCTCCCCTCAAACCCACTTTCCAGACAAAAAGGCACACCCTTTCAGACAAAAATGTAAGCATGACAATTTTCAAATATACAAACCATACACACACACACACACACACATATATTTTATTTAACAAATACTTTATTGAACACCTACTATGAGCTAGGCACGGCCCCAGTTGTTACACTAATTGGTACACTAATATACCAGACAAAAATCCCTTCCAAAAAATTTAAGATCATTTAGTTTGAGACAAAAATCATGAAATAAATAACCGTTCAAGATTATATATTGTTCTTTGAGCCTGCGGCAAGAAAATGTATACATTAAATAATTATTACAAAGTCAAATGAATGATTATTTCTTTTTTTTTAAAATATATTTTATTGATTTTTCACAGAGAGGAAGGGAGAGAGATAGTCAGAAACATCGATGAGAGAGAAATATCGATCAGCCGCCTCCTGCACATCTCCCAGTGGGGATGTGCCCGCAACCCAGGTACATGCCCTTGACCGGAATCAAACCTGGGACCTTTCAGTACGCAGGCAGACGCTCTACCCACTGAGCCAAACCGGTTTCGGCATGAATGATTATTTCAAAATCATGAAAAATGAGTCATTTCAATTCCAATACTTCTTTTGCTAAGTCTACTAGTATATATTTTAAACTAAGCCAAGTATACCATACTTGAAATGTGAATACTATAAAATGCAATCAGTTTTTAAAACCTTTTTAAAAAAAATTCACATTAAGAACGTCATTTATTTTATTTCTTAAAATTGCAATTAAATATACCTAACATAAATGTTACCATTTTAAAGTTCTATGGCATTAAGACCATTCACATTGCTGTGCAATCATTGCCACCCTCCATTCTCTAGAACCTTTTTATCCATAGCAACTAAAACTATACCCACTAAACACCCACTACCTAGGGAGGGAGAAGAGGTAGAGGAGAAGGAGGGAAAGGGATGGAGGGAGGGAAGAAAACATCAATCGGTTGTCTCCCTGACCAGGAATTGAACTGGAGGCCCTTTGGTGCACGGGAGGATGATGTAACCAACTGAACCACACTGGCCAAGGCCAAGATTATTGCTTTCTGTGACAATACATATTGTAATTTTATCACCGATGTTTTAATAATCACCCTCATGAGGATGATTTTTTTCCCTATTTTTATTTCTACTTTTAACTATCTGAGATAATTTAAAAAATCTACTTTCTATTTGAAAGCCTGATAAAAATATTTCCATAAACTACAGAAATTCTTGATTTATTTTAATCAAATGTGAAAATTCTTGATTTAAATTATTAATAAAGTGAAAGATTCTAGTGGAGCAATTCCAGCTAGATAGAGAAGGAGTACCTCTTTACATGGCATAAAAATATTTCTGCTACTTTGTTATTTAGCTATCCTTTATGTGTTACTACATTACTTTAGATTTTTCAAGTATCTTAATTTTACTTTTAATCTGGCATCAATACATTTTATAATAGTAATTACTTTCTTCAAGTATGCTTTAAATTCTGCAGTTATATCTCTGGAGCTGGCTATATATAACCATTCTCGGCTGCAGAATGATTATCCTTGTCAGGACAGTGGAATACTACTTAAGTAATGAAATATAGGGTGGGGCAAAAGTAGGTTTACAGTTGTGAGTATGCAAAACCATTTACTCTTGTATTATTTATTAATTATTGTATTTTCCATATGAACAACTGTAAAATCTACTTTTGCCCCACCCTGTATTATTATTATTCTTTGTTAATCCTCACTGGATATTTTTCCTGTTAATTTTTAGATAATGGAAAGGAGGGAATGAGCGAGTAGGGGAAGGGAGAGAAGGACTAGAGAGAGAGGGGGAGAGAGACACATCAATTGTTTGCCTCCCACAGGCAGAAGGCACTCCAACCTGGGCTAGGGATCGAGCCTGCAACCCAGGTACATGCCCTTTACTGGGAATCGAACCCTCGACCCTTCGGAGCATGGATCAACCCTCTAACCACCAAGCCACAATGTCCAGGGCCCTACCCTGTATTATTATACTTGAAGAAAATTTTAAATTAGCCACTCTTTAATATCTTTAAGCAAAGCCTAAATTATGGGGTCAAACCAAACAGCATGACAATTTCACTGAATATGGTAATTTTTTTCATTACCCTATTAAGAAATTGAGAGGTTTATGAAATGTCCAAATATATAAACCTCACGGGTAACAGATTAAAATGTGTTTCGCTTTTTTTTTCTTTTTTACTTGTCTTTTGGGTACAAATTATTAAATACAAAAAGATTATATTAACTACAGAAGATATATTTAAAATTTAGTGTGGTGATGAGGCATGCAATGAAATAACATTTTGCTATAATCCAAAAAACCTAGTTTTTGCATTTAAGTTGTACTGTTTCTATACTACCTAGATTTTTTTTTTCTGATGGAGAAATTAACAAATGAATGATTATTTGGAAACTGTGAAGTAGATTTCAATTTAGACAATTTATCCCAGAAAAGTCAGGATATTTATATATAAGTCCCTAAATAGAAGCTAAACATTCATATTTTTGGGGTATTAAATTTTTGATGATTTTACTCTAGATATGAATCAATTATAAATATACCATGATGTCAGCCAAGAAATACAATACAAAAAAGTTGATAACTACTAATAAATATAGCCAAACTTCGGTTCTTAAACATCTCCCATCTCAAACAATTTGGTTCTCAACCAAGTTTTTATGGGGAAAAATGTCTCGGTTGTTGAATGAAGCTTTGGCTCTCGATCAGTCATGAGTCTCTCAGGTGACAAAGGAGAGAGTGCATGAGTGAGTCAGTTTACCCCTAAACCTCGTGTTGTAAACATATCAGGAAAATGAAAACAAGGCAAAATTTAGTAGCACAGGTCTTGATTTAAATAGGAAATAAACATACAAATGTAATGAATTCTAGTATAATAGGGATTTCATGTTCTAAGCATAAATAAAATAGGTAACATCAATAGATTACTCAATGCAGTCTTGCCCTTTGTCACTAATCTGTCTGAAATATTTGAGTCTTCAAAGTTATCTCCATGTGAAAACAGGAATAAATTGAATGCAGAATTGAAATAAATTTATGTCCACAAGTAAGCAATCACACTTTTTACCTAGGCTGTCAGTTTTACTCTCCCTGTTATGTTCAATAAATAAATAAGAGGCATACACATAATTATTCAGAATCACTGACTACTGTCACTATGTGCTATTTTTCTGGGTATTGTTTAATTGGAAGCATTACCATTTTAGTACCTTAAAGAGAACTCCAGGCATATTACTTAGAACAAACAACAGAAAAAATTCCAACTATGAAATATTGCAAATGACCTATGTTTAAAAGATACTGCAGAGTAGCCAAGAAAAACTGCTTAGAAATTTATAAAGGAGATGAAATGGGGTTAACAAGGTTATGTGTGCTTAAAAATTTTTTAAAAGTTAAATGATACTCATTTCTTTTTGAAGAGCAGACTGCCCTCAGTCTATAGTAAGTGCAATACAAATTGAAAAGACTTCTTTTTCTGAGACTTTAGTTGAAGAAAAGCTGAGCTGGCTTCCAAGGGACCAATTAAGAAACCCAAGCCTGGATTATATAGGATTCTTTGGGGATTTGCAAATGTTTCCATTCTAGTTTTCCAGGGACAAAAATATTGAGGGGAAAAATTTTAAAAAAAAGTGACCTGTGACATTTGGCTACTACTCTTCAAACTGGCTCATTATTAAAAGTTTTAATATTTAATTATTTGTACCCTAAAAACTACTTATCAAATTCAGTGGATGACCACCTATGATCATAATAAGGTCACTCTTCAACACATAGATATTATTTACTGGGTCACTAATGCAATAGTATGAGATAATGCAAAAAAAGCATCTCAAGTATTAGTTTTCGTTTAAACAGGGCCATCCCTCAACATCAAGAACAGAAATAGCTGCACATTACTTTCATTTAGAGATATAAAATTAGCTCAAGAAATATATGGAAATTAATCTTTTTGGTAGAGAATCTCAAATACTTTTAAGGAAATATGTATTTCCTAGATTTGAGAGTTTTTCTAATGGTATAATATTAATTTTAGCTAATGTGCTAGAATTATTCCCTTAGAATTTACTTGTTTCTCAAAAGTTAAATGAATCAGGGTAAAAATCTTTCATATTCTAAGAAAAGAGGTATGTATGTGTATATATAAAAGGAAGGAAAAGGGATTGTCTTCCTGTTTTTCCCACCTCCTGAAGTTTAACAGCTAAATCTAAAGCACTTCACAAAGAAGTATGAAGTGTAACCTAGGGAAATGTAAAAATAATAATAATAATAATAATAAAATAATTTCTTAAATGGAGAGAATACTTCCAATTTATAAAACCATAAAATAACTGTCAAGGAACCTGAATAATGATAATAAGACCATACTTATATGTAAATTCCTTTGAAGGAAAAGGGTGCAAAATTGTGATTCTCAGAGTTGGAGATGCTAGGGCCTACCTGTAAGGTACTTTCCCAAATAGAAAAATTACCTATGGCAATGGCATTATTCTTGCTCTAAAATGGGTTAAATAAACACCAAACTTCGCCCAGCCAGTATGGCTCAGTGGTTGATCATCAACTCATGAACCAGGAGGTCACCGTTCTGATTCCAGGTCAGGGCACATGCCCGGGTGCTGGGCTCGATCCCCAGTAGGAGGCGTGTCAGAGTCAGTGAATTCATGACGTTTGTGCAGTCTCAATCCCGAGTGGGGGGGGAGGGGGGCATGCAGGAAGCAGCCAATCGAAGATTTTCTCTCATCATTGATGTTTCCACCTCTCTCTCCCTCCCTTCCTCTCTCTGAAATCAATAAAAATGAATTAAAAAAATAAAAATATATTAAAAAAAACAACACAAGAAAACACCAACCTTCAATGTGTAGAGGATAAGGGGACGTTAGTAAGTTGTCATTCTAGGATGGTAAAAAATCAGAAATAAAGCAAAAAATTACATCAAACAGTAACTTTTTAGAGCAATGGTAGGGGGGCCGAGTTAATACTTACAAGGTAAGAACTGATGAACTAAGTACAAGGCTGTTTTATCATGGTCTTCATTTTATCGTTATAAACCTAGAAAAAAATAAAAGTGAAGACTTTAAAAATGTGCTCACATTATATGTTATAAAATTAGCAATAGAGGTTGACAGTTTTCTGATCCCTATTAAGCATAGAACAATAACAGATTATAAAATCCAGCACCATTTATATATTTCAGTCCAGAGTTTGTTTGCTTTGGGTTTTGTTGTTGTTGTTGATAATACTCACCCAAGGATATGTTTCCCATTGACTTTTAGAGAGAGTAGGAGGGAGGGAGAAGAGAAACATCATGTGAGAGACACATAGATTGGTTGCCTCCTACAGGTGCCCCCATCTGGGTAGGGATGGAACCTGGAACCCCAGGTACCTGCTCTTGGCTGGGAATCAAACTCAGCAACTCTACTGTGTGTGTGTGTGTGTGGGGGGGCGGTGGTGTGCGGAGGGACAAGTGCATGCCTGGCTCTCTAACCACCGAACACACCAGACAGGGCTTATTATTAGATTTTAAAACTCACTTTTCTATTACTAATACCATCTTGAAGTTTAAAAGTCTAATATGTAAGTGCACTTAAACTCATTCTTCAATGTCTAACTTGAAGCACACTAAGCTTCTGGAGAACACCATCATTACAGATATTTTAAGATAAATTCAAGATCATACCACAAGATTGACCAACCTCTCTCTCTCACGCACATACATACACATACATGTATGCTACTGCAAAAACTAAAAACCACACAGTGCCCAATTTCAATAATTCTATTATAAATACAAAGCTTAAGGTGTTTAAATATGTATAAATAAATGGTTTAAAATCCTATATAATAAAAGCATAGTATGCAAATTGCCCCTTTGACTGGCGTTCTTCCAGAAATTCGACCACAGGGTAGGCCGGCCGAGGGAAGGGAATGAGGTCCTGGCCAGCAGTGGTGGCAGGCGGCCAGGAGAAGAGAGTACCCAGCCGACAGCCGCTAGGGACCCTACCAGTGCACAAATTTCGTTCACTGAGCCTCTAGTAATGTTACAATCTACTAGAGGTCCAGTGCATGAAATTTGTGCATGGGGGAGGGGTCCCCTCAGCCCAGCCTGTACCCTCTCCAATCAGGGACCCCTTAGGGGGTATCCAACTGCCGACCCACCAGCCTGGTCGTCCCCAACTGCCCCCCTGCCCGCCTTGTGGCCTCATGCAGCCTGTTGTTCAGTTGTCCATTTGGTTGTTTTGGTCATGATGGCCCCTGGCTTTTTATATATTAGGATGGCCAAAACAAGAGAAAATATATTTGTGAAATTGCCTGAATGCAGGAGCAAATGAAAGAGTAATGATAAGAAAAATTTGTTTCCATGGTTGCCCTTTACTTGTTAAGAATAGGAAGGCTAAAAGGCAGTATGCAAAAGAAAATATTACATCTTTTCTTTAAAAATAAAAAAGTTGAAAAATATCCTGGAAACTTAAGTTTGTTAAAAGGTTTGACTTCTTTGGGACATATTATAAACTGTTCTTACACCAACTAACACTTAAGCACTTACTACAAGTCACAGAATAGAAAGAAGAGAATAAACCCATCCATGCTTAATGAAACATTCATTCCAACTGTACATCTTATTGTAGAAGATCTTTGCCAAAAAAAAAAGAAAAAGAAAAAAAAAGAATAGCACTTTTGTCTCATTAATTTGAAAAACAAACAAAACCCCAACATTTTAAATCCAAAGAAAAACCAAGAGAATACCAAAATGAATCTCCACATCTTAGCCCTGGCTCTCCAATCCAGCTGTATTTAATTCTAATATTCTGCCATGCTTACTTTGCTTAATTAAATTTTTAAAGAAAGACTACATATATAGTTGAGTCTCATTCCCCTCTCTCCTGATTATAATCCCTGAATTTGGTTTTCATTAACTATGCATGCTTTTATATGATTATTATAAATTCAAGTATTTAAAACAACATATATCACTAGAGGCCTGGTGCACAAGAATCGTGCATTTGGGGGTAGAGGGGGTTCCCTCAGCCCAGCCTGCGCCTTCTCGCAGTCCGGGACCCCTCGCTCCGCCACCGCTGCTGCACTCGCCAGCCGTGAGCCTGGCTTCTGGCTGAGCAGCGCTCCCATGAGAGCGCACTGACCACCAGGGGGCAGCTCCTGCGTTGAGCATCTGCCCCCTGGTGGTCAGTGTGTGTCATAGAGACCAGTTGTTCCACTGTTCGGTCAATTTACATATTACGCTTTTATTATATAGGATTGTTTTCAAACTTTACATAAATGTTACCATACCATATATATTTTGTGTAATGTATTGTATATTTTGCAACTTATTTTTATCATTAATCTATAACAATACACCCAGCTCTCTTAAATAGCAGTATAACAAAGAGTTCATATGATTATGCCATAATTTATCATTTTCTTTACTTAACATTCAAATTGCTCTCAAAATTTTTCCTATGAAAAGTAATAGTAAGCAAGATTTTTTCACATGTCTTAGTTTATCTAGGACATCTAGGAATGGAATTATTGTGTTCAAACCTAAGTATATCTTCAACTTTATTAGAATTTTGTCAAATGCTCCCACAAGCAGCATAAGAAAAGTTCCTCTTTCTGTATTGTCTCCAATAATAAAACTACATTGAAGAAAAAGTGCTACTATGCAGATGAAAACAAAAAATTCTTAAATGATCAATTCATCAAGTGTAGATATACTAAATGTTCCAAAGAAATAGAACAGACTAAAATTTGGCCAAAGATACTTGCACAAAAATAAAGCTCACATAATACAGATTTTCCTCATATGACTGAAGAAATACCAGATGTTATCTAGAACTATTGTGGAAGAAATGATAAGGTTCATAATTAGTTACTGAACTTAGATACACAATGATCGAAGAGAAAAGAAAGCAGAAAATATAAATGGTTTATTGATGTGAAGAATCCTCCCTCATTTCTTTTTGGGCAGTGCTTCTCACATGTAGTGCTTCTAAAAACAAAACAAAACAAAACAAAACAAAACATTACAGCTTGGAAAAAAAAAAACAAATTCCTGAGCCCCAGCTCTAGATTCTGATTCAACAGGTCTGGAAAATGTTTTATTCTAGGTTATTCTGGTACAGGTAGTCCACAGACAATTTATACAGTAATTAGTAGTAAAAACAAGGTGTTTTTGATATAAAGGATTAGGTAGCTCACTTTTTGGTTTAGGGTCATTTAACACTAATTAATGTTATCTGTAAATTACATCAACATATTAAAGAAAACACTTCAGTATTAGCAAAACATAGTAATCTCAACTTATGGTTGAATATGTTTGACTTCACAATGTTAAACTAGGTCGTGGGATCACTTTTCATTTCAGATAACCAAGCACATACTACAACAAAACTTTTTTGGATAATATTAGGGAACTAATATTCTTAGTTTACTGTAATTAGTAAGGGAAAACATTAAGAGTGGGAGTGATTAGTTGTGTTTTTAATGAGGACATTTGTTACCTTTTTAAAGAAATGCTATTGCAAATGTCAGGCTTTAAATTAAGACATTATGCTCACACACTAAAATGTCATTGTAGTTCCCAGGAAGAATGCTACAAATGAAATCAGTACTTTAATATAAACCCAATATTCACTTCCCTGTAATTACAACCTATTGGAATGATTTAGATAGAAAAGATGAGAAAATGTACAGATATTTAGGTGATACAAACCTGTGCAAAATCAAATTGTGTTAAATTATAAAAACACTTTTTTATACTATTTGAAATTACAAAGTCCTATCTCTGAAAGATTTAGAATAATCTGAATTTTCCAGTTATAAGATATTAACAGTGAGAAAAAGCAAAGACTTATGAGTTTCTATCTGCAGCATGCTTTGTATTAGTTATATACAATATTAAGTAGTATAGAGTGGTATTCTTTTTAGTTATAGTGAAATCTACAATAAGTTGGCCTTGTTTAGATTGGGCTATAGAAAACGAAAATATGGGTTGGGAATATGGCCCCAATGTGAAAAAAACACTATGTGGCTACCGTCAAACTTTTCTTTCTTCAATATTACCTAACTTGTGTTATTAACAACTAATTATTAATTTTTCCAGTTTACCAGCTTAAAAGTAAAAAACATGAAACACCATACACACTTTCAGATGCAAGACAAGTTTACATTTAAACAGAGGAAATTAACTGAATGAAAATTACATTAAGTAAAACAAGAGTAAATAGTAAAAATAATAAAAGTCTAAAAACTGTAAGTACCTACGGCTCTTTTTATGCTCCTCTGGGAAAAAGACACCTTATTGTCAAAGAATATAATATATAGGATTACACTGACAAGCCCGTCACACCTAGCCTGTAAAAACTGGTGGGTTTAGGTTCTTTTGGCCACCATTATTGCATATTTGATGCTATTGTGTACAACAGCTGAGTAGAAGCAGCAATCTCCCAGCTCCTGTTCCCAGCTATAAGGGACAAGAACAAGGGCTGTGGTGATACTTGTTTATTCACTGTTACTGCTGCTGAAACAGCAAACTGAGAAAAGCATATATAACTAATAAGAAAAACAAAATGGTTCAATCCAACCTACCTAGTATGTCTGCTTACATCATTATACAATATACTTATTTAGAAGGAATTTTTTTCTTTAAAAAGCAGGATGGGAAGACAAGACAAAAAGACAAAATTGGTGTTTTGCTTAGAAAGGCACCTATTAATGTGTCTCAGAAAATAATTTAATGACGTGTAATGACCTGCAACTTGTAGTTTAGTTGCTCAATTACCAAAATTCTCAAGTTGTCTTTTTACCCAGGTTTAGGGTTAATTCATAAAGAGTATTTTCCATAGCTAGTCTCCTGGAGAATAAGAAAGTATCTAAACTTTAATCAAGATATGAACTTGCATTTTGCTTATAAAGAGCTCCAGGCTCCCAGTTAATCACTACCATATGTTTCACATTAGATACCATTAATAAAAAATATTTTTTAGCCCATAAAGTTTACAAAAATCCCAACAACTAAAAAATTTCTACAAGTAACTTATCTACTTTAAATGTGTAACACAAAGCTAAAAACTTAGTACATAATATCAACTGATGATGAATAAGAAAAATAAACTGTTGTGTCAAATTACCTTTAAATTTAAATGTGACACTATTTATAAACTTAAAACTTAATATTTAAAAGCAATTCGTGCCTTTTAACAACTAGGGAAATTTTTTATTCTGAAAAAATATTTTAGAAGTCAGAAAAATTAGGAAACCTATAACATTTTTTATAAATGCTAGAACTGGCTGATACATTTTAAAAAATATTTGGTAAAAAAGGATAGGTTTGCTATTTCTTTAAATAAAAAAAAGTATAAAATACAGTAATATTTAAAATTCAGATCATAATACTTTGTAAAAAGAAAAAACCACCCAATCTTTTATTTTTCTCACAATTGAAAGCATAATTTTTCTGCCTAGTAGCGCAATAGGAAAACAATAATAAAAATAAAAATAATTCTGAAGGTCACAGGATAATAAAACTTCTAAATATATGTATTTAATATAAAGGCTATACAATAAAACACTAATAGCAAAATAAAAGGATTCTTAAAAATTAAGACATTTGCAAACAGTAATAAATAAACTATTAACCAGAAGATTAATCAGTATCAGCAGGTGCTTTTGAAACATGCTGCATGTTTCTGTTCCAAGTGACTCTAACCAGGAAAATAGGAAAATAAAAGTAAGCCAAATTATATGTTAATGAAACACCAAAAGTGTGGTTTGTGTTGCTGAGAACTTAAATTCTACTTCAAAAGAATGTTTAGCAAAAAATTTAAATTCTCACACTAAATATTGCCTTTTGAAAATGCTTATCTGAAAATGTAATTCTGATGCATTAGGTCTTATTTGAAAAAAAACAGAAATAGAATTAGGATGAATTTCCTAGTCAAGAAAAAACAAACAAACTGTACTCACGTACAAAACTGCTTCAAATAAACATTTTTTATTAAGAAAGATAATTGTATCTACTCTTTAATAAAACCTCTATTAAATAAAGTTGGTATAGCTGACAAGTTACTTAAAATATAAGTTGTCCTTATAAATTAGCATAATATATCAATGACAAATAATGAATAATTTAAAGTCCCTTCCTACACATATGTTAAATTACCTCTATTCTAGTTTATCCAAATATTCTCCCACCAGATCCTAAGGATAACTATTTCAATAAAATAGGAACACTGACAGTATAGCTGTATTTTAGAAACAATTAAGAATTTTTCCTTAAAACAAGTATCATTTAACCCCCAAAAATGCATTTAACAAAAAATATAGATATTTGCACAAGATGTAAGTTTATCACTGGAAAAAAAGTAAATTCTTTCTCAAAATTTGACATAATGAAGTACATATCAAGGCTGAGATATAGATAAGCAGGTTTGCAAATTTACATACAACAGCCAAAATCCTTACAAAATGTCCTTTAAGGGGCAGTTAAAAGATAACCAATCACACTTTGCAGTATAAAAACTTAATAACATGTGTCCTAAAATAAAATACTACAAATTAAAGTTTCTGATCCTTCATAAGAAGTGACCAAATACAAGAAAACTATTAATATCTGCATTGATTCTTTTCGATATTAAATTACTTACTAAGTTTAAAATTTGTAAGTTTATAAGCCAGTGTGTATAGAGAGGACAATTTTATGATGCTAAAAATTTGTGTTCAAAGAGTAAATTTTGACAATTTCAAAGAACACAAATCATAAGCTCTCTAAATTAGGGATAGTTCTATGTGTTTATGTCCTTATCTATAATATAAATGCAAAAGCTATCTCTCTTCACCCATTTAATTCAATAAGGCTGTGTGTAAAGATACCTGGTTTGAAAGTAATAAATTGAACCTGGATTTTCCCCCCCAGACATTCAGAAATCATATTTTTTACTTTTCATTATAATTCTCTAACCTGGAAAACAATGGTTAAGTTAAAGGGGAGCAAATTTTCATTTTCTTCCCAATTAAACTCACATTTTTCATAACATGCTCAAATCAAAGTTATGAAGACATTCTAATACTATATATTTATCTCAGTCACCTACAGTATAATGACATCAACATCTGAATTTCACCCTTATATTAAACTAATTTCTATTAAATTTTTAACATTTTATTTAACCTTAACTGTTAATAGATTCACATTCCTGGATTATCTATCTAATATCTACTAATACAGAAACATTTAACATTAATTAGCTTTTTAGTATTTTGATATATTTCAATGTTCAGAAATTCTTAAACATACATCTGAGAATTTTCTTTAAAAATATTTAATAATGTGTAAAGATATGTTTACAGATAAAAGTAGTTTTATGACCATGATAATTACACTTTATTCTTAAGACTAAATTACACTTTTCTCGTGGAAAAAAACACACCCCACTTTTGTAATTCCTATATCTTAAGTATATAAAGTAAATATTTTTAGGTGAAAAAAACATTTAAAGAAAAATTATAGTACCATTATATTTTGGTAAAGCTCACTTTATGTGGCAAATAGTTTTTAAAAAATCATAGTAATACTGTTAAGTTCATTTTCATTATACCAGATTACCATTTAGAAATCAAGAATTTTATTAGCTAAGTAGCCAAAATTTTCAACTAAACCCATACAAGTCAAAGACAATAAATGTTATAAAAGTGGTTCTGTTGTAAAGTTTTCTGGAGGAAAAAACAATAAGTCACTAGAAATTTTGGCATTCTCCCATTTATTTTTAAAGAGTTTGCAACTTCTGATATGAACAATTTAAATATTTTACTTGGAACACCCATGAGTCAGACACTGGTTTCTACTTAAGAAAGTGGGTTTTTCAGTTTCAACCAAATTGCCACTTTTAGTTAGAATACTACTTGGAATATTTTAAATGCTTTAAAAATATTCTCATTAATTTTATCTAATTTTATAGGCTCTACTGACCACTAAACCCATCATACAGCCAAGCACCAAATTCCATTTGATTGAAACTTTCTATTTTATAAGATGAAAAGTCCAACATTTAATTCTTTTATATATAACACTATAATAACAACCCTAAGAGGAAAAAAAGAAAAATCCCTATATATACTTATTTTTAGACTAAATAAATTCAGTTGGAGTTGGACCTAATACAAGATGATGAGATCAATTATATAAAAAATCTGGAGTTTTAATAAGAGTACTTAACCATGGCTACTTCACAGGATGTATTAATATATCTTTACTGAGTTTTAACTCACCTAAAAGTTCTAGCTTTACCAATTGTGCAACCCAATTATATTGAAAAGATATAAAACTGTATGCTTCTAAAATTCATTAGTATACCTTAATCTCCTAACATGTTCCAGTGCATTATGTGAGTGCTCAATCAAAGAAGTTAGGTTGTTCTCCAGAACTGGCTCTCTCCTTAAGGTCAAAACCTGCAATAAAAATGTCATGTATTATAGCAAGAAGACACTCAACAGATTTCCGCCTCCTGGAGTTCCACATTGGATCCCTGGACAGAGAGAATGTGGATCCAAAATGACCTCAATCTTGCGTATGTTAGAAAACACACACTAACTTGAAAATAATGTTATTTAAATAGAAATAACTTGATTAGAAACACCTGTGATATGCTTTATCATTTGAAGCCTCTTCAAATCAGATTAATATGTTTTCTGCTTTCATTTCTCTTTAGAGCATTCATTTTCAAAGCAGTGTAGGGGGGGAGGGTGTGTAAGTAGGTGTTAGAGAACTGGTAAAGGGGACTCACAAGGAAAATACCAGAGATACATTTTGTCTGTGCTTCTGAAACTTATAAAACCCAGTTTAAAAGAATACTTAAGGGATGGAGAGGAACTTTTCACTACCTTTCTCCCCAAATTATCAAACTTTTAATGATTATAGAAATTACCATTATTTTCAACTTTTATCTTTTGCCATACCGGAGTGAACATGAATTGACATTTCCAAATATTTTAAGACATTACAATTCTAACAGAACAAAATTTTGAACTTACTCTCTAAGCAAATTAAAATATAAGTAATAAACAGATGAATACTGGGCCAATGCTTTTTTTAATGTTCCTAGCAGACATGGTGTAACCAAATGTATATGTGGCTTTTTGATTTGTTTCACCTATATTTTGACTTAGTGGCAATCAACTATATAAAAATATTAAATTGCTAAATTACCAAAGATTAATAATGTACTATAAGTGAACCAAAAAGCTCTGAGTTATCCTTATTTATTTAAAAATAGCTTAGGAAAAGAAATAAAAACCAAGTAAATTTTTACTTCTTTGGTGCCAAATATTTGATTATTTAATGGCAAAAACCACACACACATAACCCACAAACACCAATTAAATACCATGATATTTTAAAAAATTAAAATCATTACTACAATAGTCTTCCTCAAAGATATAGACAAAGTTTTCTATATTTGAGCACTATAAAAATTAAGGTAGCTTAGCTTTAAAAATCACAAAAGAAATGTAGTTGATACCAATATGTACTCCATGCCAAAAGTTAACTTTTTACATAGTAGGAAAACAAAATATACTAGATAATAAAGAACAAAGGAAGTACAACGACAAATATTAAACCAAATGATTAAAAAGATGATGTAAAAAACCTTTAAATAATGAAACTCAAATCTATTACAAAATAGTTTACTATTTATACTTAGAACCCACATCTTTCCAGTGTAAAATTTTTTTAGTAAAAGAAGTCAGAATTAAACAAAAGTATGTTAAACTTCCCATAACTTGATAAGAAATATTTAGAATAAAATTCGTATGTATTTAATATCAACTCTAATATTTGAAACTTATCTTTAAAGGAAGACCTTTTAAAGCATCTCGAAGACAGTCAAGAAGGGTGGGGGGAGGGAAGGCAAATGGAAATCATTTCTCCTCCAGAAAGCAGTATTTATAGGAAGGCTTTACAGTCATTTGTATTTGCAAATAATCAGAAAAATATATAAACACATTTAGTAATGTGATATTATAAAACTGATGTTACTCATATTAATAAGACAATCAACTTTAAAGCTCTAACAGTAACTTGTAAAAAATGCAAACAGCTTAATCTCATTTTCAACATTTATTTAAAAGAAAGTGGTAATTGTGGTATTTTATTACCGATTTCCTTTGGTGTTAAGAGAGGGGCTACCAAATTTCAGCAAGTCATAGTTTGAGTTCTTATTACATGCCCAGATTAGTTGCCTGACACATAGTGTTTGTAAGCTTGCTGAATAATAATAATAAAAGAACACAAATGTTCTTTTATTATTTAGTGTACTCATACTCTAAAATATGACCATTCTTTTTAAGATGTGTTTTCTAGTTATAATCAGATTCATAGCCTGTTTCTTTTAAAAACGGGTTAAAAAGAAATCAATATGGGGATCATTATGCTTCATTAAACAAACAAACAAACAAAAGACAAGAGCCAATTTTAGGCCAGTAATTTGTTAAAATAAAGAGATAATTTTTTGTAGAATAAAATTTCAAAATAGTGTATAAATTTATACTCTGATTTTTTTAATTGGAGAAAGTTTATGTATCATGTAGAACAAATAACTAATATAATCTTCTGGCTATTTTATTTTTGTAAACCAAATCAACTGATCAATATTTCTGGGACTACAATATTTTGTTACATTCTGAACTGTTACTACATATCAATAAATAAACAGAAATAAAAATATAGGTAATTTCCACAAAACAAAAACCAAAAATGTAGTATACCAAACATGATAATACAAGGAATCCAGAATATGAAAGTTATTTTGAAATTTTCCTCTTTAATTCTAGTTCATGATAAACATTAAAAGTGATATTAATCTGATTAGAAAAAATACAGTGCTACATACAAACACCTGAGAGTACATTCTGTAAATGTACAACTAAGACAGTTGACAGCATTAAAACAAAGTCTAAAACTGCACTTTTATTTGGATTTTTAAAAATAGTAAAGACAAAAATTAAAATCAATGCTAACAGGAAGACTGATACCTTACCTTCTCAAGTTCCCTCTACCCTCACCAATATGTAAACATAGCTTTAAAAAAGAGTTGAGCTACTATAGTAACACCTTTACTCACCATTATTTTCCTGTGGTATTATGACTTTTCTAGTCTTTACAGTACAATAAAAATAAATTCAATCACATACATAATATAGTAATCATATGCATCTGTTGGAACGCATGCCTATATGCCCACAAATCTAAAACCAAAATCTTCCTCTTATCTGTATCACATAAAAGGGAAAATATTTTTAATGCTGTGGATTTTATTTAGATGCTAGTGTGTTTTCAAGCTTTAAGAGCAGTGTTTTAAATAAAGGAATCCTTCTCTTCTTTAAAAAATATCTTATTAAGCAAGACAATCCTTCACCCATCACCCCCAAAACAAAAACCATAAAGCAAAGTACTAAAAAAAGTATGGTTAAATTTAACCAGCCTGGTGGAATCTGAAAGCCTCTCCCACCCTCAAATTCTCCAAGTTACATAATAATTTGAGTGAAAATTAAAACACAAAAAACAAAACCACAGAAAAAAAAAAACACAACAAAAAAACAACAACCCACTGGTATCATAGGTAAAATTACATTAAAAATAGAAAAGAGGTTGTCTATAATTTCATCAACTCAAATTTAATAAAGGATAATTAGTATTTTCTATGAAATTTTCATGAGATGATTGAAAATAAAACAGCTTTTAAAATAAGGTAATGAACATAGATTCTGTAATTGCAATTCTTGTTATGAAGGCAATATAAAATAGTACCATTTATAAATTCAGTTATTCCACTCTATTAATATAAATTATATTTATAGCCCTGCAGAGACTTATAAAAGTCATATAGAAGCCTGTCATTTGACTATTTCCTAACAATGCATGTTTGATCTAATGTGAGAATACAAACTCTTAAGTTTCAAAATTTCAACTACTACTCATAAAAGGATGCAAATTTCTATTAAATTTAAAAAAACTTTTAAAAGGATCAACAGCTATCTTGTTTATCAGTAAGTTTACAAATTTTCTTTGAAAACCACACCGGACTTTTATCAAGATGCTATTAAACGCAATGACAAGCTGGTAATAAACAAAAGTATATAGATGGCTGTCTCAAGCAACATTAAACAAAAATCAACTTAAAACCAACCAAATAAAACACATCATACCCACTGTTGTATACAATATTTTCTTCATAGTAAATTTATCAAAGGAATGAAATCATATATACGCACCTGTGCATACTTACCTGTTGTATTGTGTAAATTAAGCAATATAAATTTCCTGTAAATAAAGTTTTAAGCCCGCTACATTGGCTAATTAAATAAAACATTTATTTTAAAGATATGAAAAATTTTTAAAATATATCCAATTTTGTAAAAAAATGTGGGAAAACTCTCAACATTAAGAAAATTAAAGTTTCTTCTCATAAAAATAAAAAAACAATTCCCCTGCAATCTGCATCTAATAAATATATGTAGCTTAAGATGAAGAATTTCTGTCAAAAGAATAAACAATCTTAATGCTTCACTCAGTTTTAACCAATAGAGAACAGGGGCAAATATATAAAAATCTTGCAATTTCTGCCAGCAGAATTACTATTTTGCGAAAATTGTCTCCTAAATTTTACTTTTAATATACATTTCAGAATCACTCTAAGTTCTTTTATGGAAAAAAAATTAAACACCAGCTTTTTTTTTCAACTCTCCGTATTAACGTTTTGTAATTATTTCCGTTGTCTAAAAATATAATTTTTCGTAAAGTCGAAAATTATAATCTAGTGTTTAACATTCAAATCCCTCAGTCCGCTCTCTTCCAGCCAATCAGGGGCTAACGAGTCCAGTGTTTTGGGTGCTCCGTTAAACACAATTTGAAAAACATCACATTTCGTTCTCCTGTTCTCTTCGGGAAAACATTCTAAGTGAAGGCGGCTCCCCCCGTCTTTACAGAAATAAGAAATCAACCCATCGTTACATCGGGGGGGCAGGGGGATTCCGCAGGCGGGTCCCCCGAAGCGCTATTCCTCTCGGCCAACAGTTTAATCGCTGTTGCAAAGACCATCTCCTGCGCATTCGCCACTCAGAGCCGTGCATCCCACACGCAAACACCACGCCTGCACGGAGTTAACCTCGGGGCGCTTCGCCACAGAAAAGGCTTCCAGAGCCGATATATTTACAACGGTCATTACCTATCAAGTACTACTTAAAGCCGCCACTGGCTCAAATCATTCGAGCTGTCGAGTAAGAATTGGTAGGAACTGGGAGCTAAGAAAACAACAACAAAAAGCAATCACTAAAGGGAAAGACCAATAACATCCCCCTCCCCTCCGCCTCAGGTCGAGAGAGTTCCTAAGAAAAGGGGGTGGGGGTGGGGGGGTGGCAAAATTGCCGCTAAGTTGTCCCGGTAAAGACTTTCCCGAGGAAAACATCAATACTGCTTCACAGATTGCTTTTTTCCTCGCGACATGTTTCAAAGATTGGAGAAGAAAAAGTATTCTAAGAAAAGTGACTTGGAGGCAATCGCAAGACTCAAAGCCCCATCTTTTAGCTCACCCAATACCCCCCGTCCTCCCCCACAGCCCGAAAGGGCAACACCGGGAGAGCCAAAGACAAAGATCCCAGGCAAAAAGCGAAAGTCCAGCACCTTTCCCAGGAGCCGCTAGAGCCTCAAAAGCCCTATCTGCCCCGAAGCGCGGCAGCGGCAGCGCGACCCCCGTCCGGACCGAGG